GGCTCCAAAAATACTTTTTTAGAAAACATTTGAAGAGGTACTTCTTGGAAAAGAATAGAAAGAATTTTACTATTTCAATTATAATTTTAACGCTAATAATAATAATAATAATAATAACAAATTAAGTAATCAAGTAAAATAAAAATAAAAATAATTTATTTATATAAAATTAAATATAATTGTATTTAATTATTAATTTATATATTTTATTTTAATTAAATTTAAAATTTATGATTGAAAATATCAAATTTTAAAAATATAAATTTTAATTATATAGGAGATAATTTAATATTTTTAAATACTTCATTTATAAAGTTAAAATAATTTGTAAAATAGTATTATTTAAATTTAATTGTAAATTTTTAATTTTCATTTTTATATAAAGTAAAAAATTACAAATATAATTTATACATAAAATTTAATAAATATATTTTCAATTAGTTTAGATAATTAAAATTTGTAAATATAATTTATAAAATTCTAAATAAATTAGAAAATTTTAATAAACAATACTCCCTCCGTCAAAGCTAAAAGTATACAATTACTTTTGGCGCAGAGATTAAGGAATAATAGTATTTTAATTATAGTGGGTAAGTAAAAGTAGTAAAATGATATTTTTGCCTTCACTTTTTTGGTATAAAATGTAAAGTATGGGTATTTATGAAAAAAATGGAGTATTTAATGAAATTGTTATTTTGTAATTGGACGTTCCAAAATAGAAATATGTATACTTTCTAACTGGACGGTGAGAGTGTATTAACATTACTATGTCTTATTCGGTAATTTTAACAATTTATAAGTACTTTTAACTTTATTATATTTAAACTATTTTTTTTATAAAAAGCTGCTTTTATAATTATTCATCCAAATATAAAATCGAACTACTTCTATTTTTTGTTAATGCTTTTTGCTTTTGGTTTCTGTTTATTTCTTAAATCAATTCAAACGGGTCCTTACTATTTAGACTTTACGTTTTACCCGAAAAAATATATATTTTCGCAAAATATATTATCATACATTATCTTAATATCAAATTCAAACCAAATTTGTATCGAACTCATGAAAAAAAACATAAATTTATTTATTTAATCTAAAAAAAAAGGAGCATATAATTAAATGAATATAGACAAGAAATCCGAAGAGGTCAAATTTTAAAAGATTTAGGTGCATGTGATGATTTGATATTTGACATCCCATATATATATATAATATGCGTATGTATGCTGTAAATTACTTCTTCGGTTCAGAAAAAGTATGTATTTGGATTTTAATATAGTAAATTAAAAGATAATTAATAATTTATTAAAAGGTAAATATAATTTTGATATTTTTATTTGAAGTTGCGTTTGGTATAAAGAATGGAATATCAAAAAAATAAAAAAATAATAGAATTGGAGAGAAATGAAATTAAATAGAGAATGAAAATTAATTTCTTGTTTGTAAAACAGAAAATTCAGTTGAAAAATAAAAAAAAAAATATGATGAAACAATAATAAATGATTAATAAGATAAAAATAAGAGTTTTAATAAATGAGAATTAATGAAAAATATTTTTTGTGAATTTTTTTATAAATATTATAAATTATATACGATGTTCTTTAAAATTATATTTTAATACAATTTTTTAAAATATCGTAAAAATAAAATAGTTAACAATAAATTAAATTTAATTTTTATAAAATTGAAATAATATAATTTTAAAAATTTATAAACATTAAATAGTACCAAAAAAAAGTAAAAAAAAAATTAAATGAAAATATATTGCAACATTATTTTTCTATGTTTATCTGCATATGGATTATTTTTCAAGTTCCATTTATCTGAGTCGAACAAACAAGAGAAATGATACCATTTTCCATGTCCTCATTTCTCTGTATCAGACACAACCTTAATACTTTATGTTTATATAACGATATATTTATAATTTATATAAAAATTAAAAATATTTTGATAGTAATATATAATTATTTGTATTATAATAAAAAATAAATATTTTTAATAAGAAATATGATAATAAAAATAATACTTTCAATTTGCAAGGAGGAATATAAAAACTGATACTAGTTGGTGGTTTTTCTTTTGTTATTAGTATCTGAAGGAGTAATTTAGAATTGATATTCTGCAAGTTAAAATCTTTTAATCTGCAAGATTTTACCTTAGATTTTACTATTTCAAATTTATTTTCTCTTCAAAAATATTAAATCAAAACACTCAATTTTTATTTATTTTATTATACTAAAATTTAATTTTACATTCAAAATATTACATTAATACATATTATATGACATCAAACAAATATTTCAATTCAAAATTTTACTATTTAAAATTAAAACTTAAAATCAAAATCTCTCAAGTAAACACACCCGTCATTTTTTGTGTTATATTAGTATTTGTTTCTACAGTGATTCAATCATAGTAGCCAGTACAGAGGAAATATTATTTAGGGGATCTCCAAACCAGCGTCATTTGGATTGTACCAGACGTTGCATCATATTTTTTTAAAAAAAATTTAAATTTAAATTTAAATTTTTAAATTTATTTTTTATTTTTAAAATTTTTATAAAAAATATTTTAAATTATAAAAATAAAAAATTATTTAAAATAATAAAAAATTGAATATTTTAAAAATAAAATTATGATTAAAATAAAATTACTGTAACAACATCGTAAAAATTAAATAAATGAAGTTAAGTTAAAGATGCCTTAACATACTAACTAAAAGTACGTACTCCTTTTGCTCATCCCAAATATATAAATTGTACCTATTGAGTATTTGATCCGCGTTGAAAAAATAATCGGAGCTTTCCTTTATAAAGAACAACTCTTTTTATTATTAATTTATTTTTAGATAGAGTTCCGAATTCTTTTTTAATAATATTATTTTCATCCGTCCAAATACTATATGTATATATTACTAAATTTAATCATATTAGATATTTATAAATACTTTTAAATTTATATTTATTTATATTAATACTATTAAATTAAATTAATGTTTACTTTGTGTATGGACGAACGGAGTATATTAATATGCATATATTTCATTTTTGTAATATTTATATGAATCTTACAGTACAAAAATATATTGAGTGAACAAATTCAAATGTGTAATTTTTATTTTTATTTATTTATTTATTCTAAAAAATGACATCTCTACTAAATAGAAAATAAATAAAATCATACAAGAAATATAAGTAAAACTAAAAGCACAATAGCGAGTGTAGTTTTGGCTGTTCATTAAGACAAGGGAAGATGGTTGGAGTGTCCATTAGGGTTGCTGTCTTGATGCTATTGGTCGGATTTAATTCAAGTTTTTTATTTTTCTTTTTTTTTAAAGACACTATAAATCATATTAAACGAATCATATTTAACATATAAATTAAACATCGGGAGTTAATTCAACTTGTTTTTTTTTCTCTATTATCATTACATATTCTTTTAATACCAAAATCAACTAAAATTACATCATATGTTGTTTAATTGTTCTTAAATTTAAAAAAAAAAAAAAAAAAAAAAAAAAACGTGATTATTAATATAATATTTATATGAGAATATTGATAAAGTTTCATTGCAATTATTTAATTGATGAAAAAATTGAACGTCACCCCGCATGCTTATTTTAGAGTTTGGTTTATTTTATTTTATTTTTTCAAGTTATTTGTTCAAAATAGTTTGTTTATAATATTGTGTAAAACAAAAAATTGTATTTTTATTAAGAATCGTAATATTTGTATAATAAAAAAGAAAAAAAGAAAATTGAAGTCAATAGTTTTGTGTCATTTATGTTTAACTTTGAAAAAATTTTTAAGGAATATTTTATAAAAAAAATATATATATATTTTTACTAAAATAATGAATAATAATTTAAAATATTTTACTTTTGATTGAGAACAAGGCTGAATAATAAAAAATTTAAAACCCAAATCAAACAAACCTAAAACTAAAAAAGGAGAATAAATTGGGCCTTAATGATAATTATTGAAGATATAATGAGTTGTGCTATTGGGCTGATGCTTCAATAATGTTGAACTTAATTAGTAAATGGGTTTGTCTATTTTTTATTTAAAAGAAGAAATTATTATTCAATTTATACTTATTTTAATAATATATATATATTTTATGAATTAAATACAATTTAAACTTAAGTTAAATACATATTCAAACTTAACCAAAATCCAACAAATCCAAAAATATGTTCTTTTGGCATTTGTGTTGAGTAGCACACGTGTTACTATAAACAATACAGAATATACTTTAATATATTATAAATAACAGCATATACAATAGTTGATTATTCTCGTACAAGATACGTTATAATTATTAACTAACACTACATATTTTTATTACAAACAACACATGATGCATTTAATAAAGACGTGGAGAATCAGTATGGTGCTGATTTTTCAAATTAGATAAAGTAGTAGTAGTTAGGTATTGTTTTTAAAATAAACATTAAAAGATTATACCATTAAAGAGAATACACTAATGTTTACAAGGCAGTGAAATTAATTGTGTATGTCTAAAGTTGTTATTAAAACACAATTCAATAGAATTTACAAGTTTTTGTCACACGTCTTACATTCATGTGCACCTATTAATTATCTTAGTAATATTTTAGCAATAAAATATATATTATGTTAAAGGCAAGAAATTTTATAACAGTTAAGGGTTTGTTTGCCCTATTAAATATTTAGTTCAATAATGAGTGTAAAATATTAATTTTTTCTTAGAAATATGTTTTTTGGGAAAATGTGTTTTTAACTGAAGAAACACACCCAATATTTTCCATATCTTACATATAAAATAAAATAATATATATATATATATACTTCAATAGGAACCAGATTGAAAAACTACCATACAATATTCATGAAGTTCATTAAATTCACAACTTTAAACAAAGTACACTTATTGAAAAACCATATAAAAAAAAAAAGCATCAAATTTTAAAGCTGTAACATTTAAGACAGATCTGCGATATACTAAAATGGGAGAGAAAGTCGAACAAATTCATGAGATTTATATATTCAGTATTCACATTTTGAATTCATGGAAGGATACTAACAGAGAACCAGATTCATAGCCATAAACACTATCAAAAATTAATGAAGAGAGTAGCAGTTTGGAGCTATTCGACGCACCTAGTTCCCGGGAGATGCGCAATAGAAGGAATCAGAAAAATGTGTCGTCTCTGTGTCGCTGCTATTGATGTGTATATGTAGAAGCCGGATATATATATATATATATGACACGATTTGTGGTGGTTATACAGTGACGGTGAATAAGTAGAACTTGAGCACCAGAGCAAGGGCGAGCTGCAGCAAGAAGATTGCCACAACAATTAGGAACCAACTTTCACCTGCGGATTTGATGTGGTTTCTGAGGTTGAGGGCGACAAATGATGCAGACATGAAACCAGCTACGGCTGCAATAACCCATCGGAAGATTTCTTGGGGAACAATGGATAAGCACTGCGATATATAAGCAAGTAACCGTGTCAATACATGTGATTGAATCACTTAAAAAGGAACAATGAAACGTACCAAAACATTTACCAATAAAATTTATAAAGGAACAGCTTTTACCAATATTGCGGTATTTTAAAAAATACATTATAAAATGATTTTAGCAGCCCATATCGATAAGCAGGCAGAAAACGAATGATTATAGAACTGAAAAAAATAGAATATATCACTAATTAGCTAGATATTCCGTAAGTACATTATGGAAAAAGACCATACATCAAAATGAGCTATATATGATGCATTCGTAAACCAGTGCTACCAAAAATGTGGGGGAAATGCAAACATGTATCTTACCAATGCGGGAATGAAGACAAACAGTGAGTAACCGTAGAGACAAAGCAATTGAGCCAAGCCAGATGGAGCAGAGAAGTACTTGAGGATTATATACAATACGAGGGGAACTGCGGTGACATAGCCATAGAATAAACCAGCGGACCAAGTCAGAAGATTGATATCATAGTCCCATTCCTTTTTTTGCAGCTTGTGTGCTATGTAGGTAACAAATGTTCCAATTGAAGCTGCCACAAATATCAATGTAGTGCAGATCCAGAAAGGGCCGTACCTACAAGGCATGACAGGTTAAATGCCGCAACATTTGAAAACAAGGATTAGGGTGATGAATGAATAGTTGTTGTACGACTAAAAAGTTTAGCAGTGTAATTTCAGTAAAGATTGAGAGGAGGCACAAGCATAGTAGCACATGCTAAATGGAAGGCCTCAAATAAGATTGTTCCAGTACAGGGGTTGATACAAGAAATCATAAAGTGCAGACAATATTGATTTCGAAGATTGGACTGAGAAAATTGTTCATAAAAGAGCTAAATTATCATGCATTTTGGCAGGTATCTGATGTTGTTCACCATTCAACGGAAGTTTGACCCACAAATATAAAATTACAAATAAGTAGCAAAACACAGAAAACCTGAACTAAAATGTAGATGTTTATATATACTGAAACATACATCTACTTCATTATATAAGCCTTTATCCCACTGGGATTGGTTTTAAGTATTACGTGTTGCCAAAGTTACTTAATAAAAATAAAATGATGAGTCAAACATGCTCTTACTATATATATATATATATATATATACATATATATATATATGATGATATTTGATCAAACAGCAAATTATAACCTTGTGCCTACACAACAAAAGAACTTACCATTTGACACATGAAACATGAAGAATTAGACAAAGAAGGTGGCTAGAAGGGTGAAATATTATTTTCTAGAGATTTTAAGTAAGCTCAATTCTAGGGTTGAAAAAGATATCAACATCATTCATTATTTTCTGTTAATTAGTAAATAACAAGATAGCACACATAGTGGCAACCCTACAAACTCCATTAGAAATAATAATTAATAAACTGCAATAAAGCACTTTAATTAGCCTTCTTGTATACAACAGAGGGTGGTGTAGAGGGATGCTTCTAACATACTAATGACTTTGCATATATAAAGGCTATATGATCGTAATGTAGTGCATTTGTAAATATGTGTCTCATATAGTGAAACTTACAAGTCTGGGTTATCGGCAGTCTTTTCAGAGAAACTTCCATTGAAAGGAAGGAGTGAATCTTTAATCCTCTCAAGAACATCAGATGTGTCTACATCAAAATAGGGCCTGTATGCAGCAACAGTGAAGGACCGAAACCAACCGCTTTGCTGGGAGTCATCAGAACCAGATGCAGGTTTGCCAAATGTATCTGAAGTCAATAAATAAATGAGAAATAACAATAACATAGTGAGGGTGGGGTGGGGATGAGGAATGGAGATATTATGTAGGCACGAAATTGATACGTTTTTTTGATCAAATTGCATTACATCAGCCTGCCTTAGTTACATCTATGCTGCAATGCTGCAAACAGTGGATCATAGGTAGTTAATAATTAAATTCACCATTGCCTGAACAACTGATGCAAATGATCTATGCATCACAATCAAGTTTCGAAGATACTTATTAACTTCTTCTAATCATTATTGGTGAACTCATCAATTTAAATTCGAAGTGTTATCACTGCCTAAGCTGAATCCAGGTAAAAACTCCAAGACTAGATCACCACTCTACAAGAATGGGCTACCAAACTCTAAAGATCTACACAAACACAGGCAGATAGAGAATTGAATCCCTTCCATAATGTCAATACTTATCCAATTAAAAATGAACATCACCAATCAAATCCAGTTAAGAGATCAGGGCTTACTTATTAAATCTGAAAAACCATTCTACACTTAAAATTCACAATAAACTAAACAAAATCCACAAATAAGAGAAATACCATCGGCATCGCGAGGGGGAAGCGATGCACCAGAGATCTTCCCTTGAGCTCCCGCAGGCGGAAACGTTTGCAGATTCGAATCTGCACACAGCATCACCACACCAAAAATTGCCATCAAGCAAGTAAATCAAATCACCCCCACTACAAACATACACTGTAATCAAATCACCCCTACTACAAAGAAAATTCAACGTACCGGCAAACTTTACGGAAACGTGGGAAGGCGGATCTGCGACCGACTGCGACGACATCAAATCCCATCGAATTATTCACAAACATATAGCAGTTAAATCAGATCCACAATTAAAAATTAACAAAAATAATAGCATTACAGGAACAGATCCGGAGACGTTCTGATTGTCAATCGAGGTATAATTTCCGGACATCATCTTCGCTTCCTTCGATTCGATTCGATTGGAGTGTCGCCGGAGAATAGTCGGATTAGGAAAAATGTGCCCAGTCGGTGTTTGGACGAAAAATTAGGGATGTCTTCACAAACTAATAGTAATATTTTATTTTATTTTAATTAAATTTAAACAAACGAAGAATTATTTAGTGGGACCCGTTGAGTTTGCCAGCAATTTTCTTGAATTTTACTGTGTAAAATTAATCAAATTATGGTTTAACAAAAATGAAATAAATCAAATATCGTCCAGTCACATCAAAATGTATTATAACAAATATAATTATATACATATATTATAAAATATTTCTAATTTATATAAAAATAATAAAATATTTTTTTTATACTTATAAACGACAAAAGTATTAACAATTACTTTGCTAATTAGTAAAATATTACTCCCTCCGTCCCCGATGTCATGTTCACGCTGTTGTTTTTGTCCGTCCCACGTACCATGTCATTTTCCAATTACACACTTTAATTTCATTTAAAATTTTTTAATTTTTTTAATTTAGAATAATTATTTTCATTAATAAATTCTTAATTATCTACTAATTACACTCCTCCTAAAAATATCGTGTTTACAGTGTAGCAGACACGGTATCTGGGAAAGGGAGTATATTATTTAATCAAATGTATACTTTCAATTGAAAAAATATTTTGTTTAGCTTGATTTTTATTAATTATTCAAATATTATATTGAAATTTCTATTCAAGTCAAAATTTTATTTTTTAGTTTGATTTTGATTATAAATAGAATTATATATATATTTATTCAAATCAAATTCAAATAGCTGCTTATATATATACACACACTAGGTGTTCGTGACTAGCTATACTGCATATATTCAAATTTGTATATATAATACAAATTTGTATATATGGAAAAATTGTATTTTTATTATAAATTATGGTGATAAAAATAAATAAATTTAAGATTATATATAATTTTTTTATTTTTTAAAAAATCAATGAACTAAATAAATAAAGATAAAAATCTAAAAAAAGAAAACTCAAATGAAATTAAATACTATTATTTTTTATCTTCTATGTTATTGCAAATATAAAAGGGTAAACGACCTTTTTTACCACTTTTTTTATCATTTTAATTTCGTAACTGGAGTATGTTGTCTTAAAATAATCTTACAAATTTCTTAAATTAGTTTTCAATGCTTATGGGCATTTGCATAGCAGGCTGACAAACACGATGTTGGCCAGATTAGCACCACGTGGATAATTTTTACTTTTATTTCCTAATAAAAATAAATACAAATAAAATTAAATGTATAAAATATATTAAAAAATAAAAATTAACCATATGTCCGTCAGTTAGCGCCACGTGGCTGCTACGTGGATAAAAATATAATATAAAATATAAAAAATAGAATTAAAAATTATATTAATATATAAATTATTAAAAGTCACATGTAAAATTTTTATATTTAAGAAAAATAAAAATAAAAATAATTCACTTGGCGGACACGGTGATCTGGCCTACATATGTCCCCCAGCCTGCCACGCAGATGTCACCTAAACATTAAAGACTAAATTGAAAAAATTTTCACTTAAAATGATAAATGTTACCGGAATAAAGAAAATCAGTTTACTCAATATAATACAATCATATTATTAATTGGAGAAGAAGGAATAGAAGAATTTTGGAATAAAGAATTTGGTACCAGGGGTAAGACAAACTCGTGTTGAACCCAATGCGGCGCGACAATTCCAAGCATTATATGTGCCAGTTTGGCTACAAATTGCTCAAGGTTTTGATACATTCAACGGAGGTTCTGATACATAATTATATTAAGAGAATCTTGCCGACCTCATCGCTACTATCATGTAACGCTCATTTGAAGATGAGATACAAGCTTTAGAGCCTCCGATGTTTTCAAAATCATATTTGGAATACATTCGAATTGTAGGAAACATTATTTTCCACCGGGGATGGAGTTGCCTAACATTTCCATGTTGTCAAGTATTCGCATAGGCCAATTTATGGGTATATTAGGGGATTGCTAACAAGCAATTCTATAAGCGTTAGTTGTTTGTTGTGTCTTTGTTAAGCTATTGTAATAAATAGCTCGACATATGTACAGTCCAACATTAATGGATCGAATAGGAAAGAAAAAGAAATCTTGACTAGCATTAGATTTATAAAAATAGATTCTATAGAATAGACCTCATATGAAACCCCGAAGAGAATAGCTTCAATTGAAATTCATCTGTCAAAGATGAGATGAGAATTTGCATTAGTCATAAGAGTATGTGCAATGGTTATATTCTCCAAGCCTTCTCCCATCCATTGAGGTTTTTTTTAAAAAATTATATGGCACAATGACCTATTTTGAGAGGCTAGAAAAACAAAAAACTTTAGTTTGATTTAGTGCATGCGATGACATGACAAAGTTGCGAGAAAAAATATAAACGGTTTGTATTTTTTGTATTGAAAGTCTGCGTCGGAAAAAATATTACTGAGTATCGCAGTTATATTATCAATTAGAAGTTGTTTGAGTGTTTGTCCATTGCATTTTCTCTAAGGGCACTCACAACTAGAGCTGTAAACGAGCTGAACAGAGTCGAGCTTGTCATGTTTGAGCTCAGCTCGTTAAGGACTCGAGCTCGGCTCGTGTTCGTTCGTTAAGAGATACGAGCCGAAATTTTTGTTTGAGCTCGGCTCGTTTAGCAATTTTTATGTTCGTGTTCGGCTCGGCTCGGCTTGTTAAGAGAAATTTTATTTTATTTTTTTAATTCTTTTAAAAATATTAAATTATGTTAATAATAATTATAATTTTTATTAATAAATTTAAATACAAATATAATAAAATATAATATTTATAAAGATATATATACTTATTAATTATAAAATTATTAATTTAATTTTTTTTTAATAAATATTATCGAATAAGCTCGAGCTCGTTCGTTAACGGAACGAGCCAAAATATATATTCGTGTTCGGCTCGTTTAACTTAATAAAGAAATTTTTAATGAGTTCAAACAAGTCAAACTGAGCCAAGCTCGTGAACTGTTCGTTTGTTTTACTACTCACGGCGGAGCTGCTTAAGTGCATCAACATTGAAGACAAAAAAGAAAAGAGAAAATGCATTTGACACAAAAATATATAGTTTAATGCAATAGGATTTGGTTTGTTTGTTTTGTGAAAACAATCAATATATTTTTTCATAAAATTAATATATTACATACTTATTATATCTATATAATTTTGTATATTTTATATAAAAAATATCATATCAAATAATTTTATGAAACAAATAAACCCATCGTTTCTTTCAATATGGTATGGGCCATGGCCTTTTTTTCTTATTTAATTAATACTATGAAATTTATATTTACAATATATTATATTTATGTTTTGGAATTTATTTAATAAAATATTATATTAGAATTTGTTGTATATAATTATATTTAATATTTATAAATTTTATTAAAAAAATTAATTTCAAATATATTATTTTTGTATTTTAAATATTTTTTCAATGAATTAAACATTTGATTTGATATCTATTAATTTAATTATAAATCTTGTTTAAAGTAAACATATATTTACTAACGGCACACATAAATTAATTAAAAGTACAAATTTTAAATATATGAAAATATTCATAAATTTAAATGCAAAGTTATATGACATGATTAAAACTACAAACAATATAGATAATAATTTGAAAACACATAAAAGTATTCATAAAGTTAAATGCAAACCTATGTCATTTAATTAAAATTACACACGGATAGTTATTTAATTTTTTGTATTGATAAAAAATATTAGTTTTTCTTTTATTGAATATTATTATCTTCGTCCTACTTACCGTGTCCATCTTTCTATTTTTTTTTGTCTTACTTATTCTGTCACTTCCATTTTTTTTAAAAAAAAATTATATACTTTAATCCCATGTTAATTTTTTTAATTTATAATTTTTTTGTTTTTAATTAGACTAATGAATTATTTTAATCTATAATTATTTTTATTATAAGATAATTATTTTCACTAATACATTCTTAATTATTTACTAATTATACTTCTCATAAATTTATGTGTCTAAATTCTACGGTAAATGAGACACGGTAGCCCAGACGGAGGGAGTATAGAATTAAATACGATGAAAAAGTAGAATTTTATTTTCTTAATATATAAAATATTTAATGAGGTGAAAAATATAGATATTTTTGAAATTTTGATGTAGGTGTAAAATATAATTGGAGGAAAAAAAAACTAACAAAATACATGAGAGAGAATGAGAAGAAATGCCAAAGTGGATTTTTGCCTTATGCCTAAGGAAAATATCCTTCTCTCCTCCACCTCAACTAATAAAAAAAATCAATATATATTTTTTATAATTTAATTATATTTTTTATTTTTATATTTTAAAATTGTATAAATTTGTATTCTATACATAATGACATAAATATTAATATACTTTTATTTATATTTATTTTTGAAAATATATAATTTTGATATAAATATAAACATATATATATATATTTTTTGTCGATGCGATGCTGAAGAAATTGAATATGATACGAAGAAAGGAGAGTATGACATGATGGTGATGATGTACTTTTAATGAGTATCTTAGATGTAGATGGTCTAAGCCCTCTCAATAGCCGATAGTCTAAGGATTTGATCGTAGATAGAGACTCTTTCCTGTTTTACTTTACTTCGAAATTTTTTCATTTCTACATGATATCCTACTAGTCAATGGGTGAGATAATAAGTTGCTCAAAATTGAATTTGACGTTTTTATATCATATTTGATGCCTATTCATTGAACCAAAATATATATATCACTTGTAGCAATGGCTTGGTTATGAAATATAAGTAGCATTTGAAATTTGAAATTATTTTATTGAATTGTAAAAGATAAACATAATATATCTTATTAAAGTCGAAACAACTAGCAAGATTTTATTCTTCAGTTTCAACTTTGGGAATAACTATGGCGTCATTGAGATCCATTCTCCATTGAGGCTCTTCAGAAAAAAATTCTTCCCACCTTTGAATAAAATGCCTCCAACGTTGTTTCTTCTCCATCATCCACTCATTAGAAATTCGATATTTCTTC